CCTACTCGTGACGCAAATTCTACTCTACATTGTAATTTCAATGTTATTATGTAAGAATTACGGATCACCTTGCAATGTAGAGTAGAATTTGCGTCACGAGTAGGATTTTCATTTCGTATTTTCGTTGGTCGTTCGGAATCCTACTTAAGCTTGTTTTTTTAAATTTTTTATGTTCTTGTTTGTGTTGATTTTTTTATAATATTTATAATATTTCTTTAGTTGCCATTGTGATGCTTGTTGATTTTACACAAACAATAATTTTCTTTATTATTATCATTGTTATGACTTTACATCATTAATTTTATGAGAGACAGCATTGAATAGACATGCTGAAGGAATATCAACTATCCTGATGACAAGTGAAGTTAATACTAGTCTTGACACAAGTCCTTGTTCAAGAAGCTGTGAGCTGAGAGTGTCCATCTTCCATGCAATGTTGCAGCTATTCCTGTTCTTCCAGGCTGTTGTCATTCATATCATTGAATATCATAACATTAATTAATTGTTTGTTTTTTAAAATAAAATAAAATTACACACTTGATAAAACAGTAACATGTAAGATTAATACCTTGTTTTAGCTGGAAACCTCCACTAAAGTATTGCAGTAGTTGATTCCAAGCATAGCTTGGTAAAAAAATTAATTGCTTCTTCCAGAGCTGCAGATCCATAGATATTAGAGTAAATGAAAGGGATTGGAAACTACCGTTCCCGCCCGGTGATGCGGTTTTCGTCACCCCTGGTTGGCAACGTCCGTGTTTATCTGCATTCCCCATCTCCTCCACAGTAGTTGTTAGTCTAAGTAGTTGTTGTGCAGAAAGGATCTCGAAGGAATATCGTGTGACCATAGATACTATATACCCCTGGATACGAAACTCCTCTATGCACACATATAAAATCCCATAAGGAAACGTCATAAACGTCACATCCGGCTGTCCTCACCCTTGTTTCGCTGCATTCATGGCTGCCAGGGTAAGTAAAACAATCACAGTAGCCTATTCGTTTGTTAAAGTAGCTGAATGATCCCTCAGAGGACTTTGCAAAGCCTTTATATATTGAAATAATGCTCATAAAAGATAGTTTGAGTGCATATTTTAGTTCTACAATGGATGTCATAGCCTACTTGTTGTGTACATTTCACTCAAGCCACTTTTTTAGCTTAACTCTGTTGAATTAGGCCAACATTTTTTATTGTACTGATAGGTTATTGTTTACTAGTTGTAGTGGGGTTATTATTTAGAGTTTGTGTTAAGTAAAAGAGCTGTTATTTTCTAAATCTTGGTTTTTCAAGCCCCACCTTTCTAGCCAATTTTTCTTTGTAATACTTGACTTAATTGGAACTTTTTCTATATGGTTTTGTAGCTTGAGAATAGGTAGTTGTAGTGGGCCTATTCTCAAAAGGAGTGTATTTTTAGTTTTGGTGCAATTGTGTTGTCAAAATCATCATTTTTAGGTGACAAGAGATGGGAAAATCATGCATTGGTAGGCTGCATATACTAAAAGAAAAGGAAAGTTTCAGCAATTATAATGCATGATAAATGTCAAGTTTTATTGTATTATTGTACATAAAATCACACTTTTATTAGCAATAATAATACTTTTTATCATTGTTTTATTTTTATTCTGAATGAAAACGTAATATGACGTATTTCCGGTGAAACAAGCCTCAGAACATCCGGTCGGGCCGTGTTTCATATCCAGGGGTCCGGGTATAATATTATAGCTATATAGATATAGCTATATAGCTAGAGCGGTTGCATTGACGTCATAATTACTTCCGTATGGCAAAAGATTAATGAGCTCCACCTAATAGCATGCAGGAGCAAGGCGGGCCTCGCTATAAAACTATGGCACAAGCAGCAGCAGAAGCCCCTTACTCCAATTATTTTTATGGTTTGAGCCAAGACATGAAGTCGAGGTACCTTACCAAGCTTGCTATCATCAATGGTCAGGATCCTTATTCTCTAAATAAGCGAGAATTTACCAAGGATCCTGAACAATTACCGCAACTAGGGTATGCCAGCATTTGTGAGCCTCAGTCTCTTATCATCATTTTTTATTTAGTTATCCTGACATAGTATTCTATCTTCTCCACTCACAGAGTTTCCTCACTCATGAGGAAGTGAAGAACTACAAGAGTTTGCTAAGCTATAAATACTTTGTAAGTGGCTGGGTTCTGGAAGTGGGATGGAAGGCCTATGACGATTCTCCTCAATCTCCTGACAAAGTTGTGCTAGTTATAGGAAAAGTTAGGCACAGCTACTCCACTAATAAGCCTCCTTGTATCCTTGGGTAATTATAAAGCAAAATGGAGCCGTTTTGCTAGGTCACTGTACTTGCATGGCTGGTCTTGCAGAGACCTGCTCACATGTTGGAGCCATACTGCATTGGATAGAAGCTGCAGTTAGAATCAACATGAGTACAACATCAACCTCTAGGGAAAACTCCTGGCTAATGCCTACAGCAATAGATAACATTCCTTTTCTTGAGCTCAAGAATATTAGTTTTACAGCGGCCAGTAAGTCTGTAGCTCATAGTGCACAGTCATTGCCATCTCCTCCTCCAATACCAACTGCTGTAGAAAAAGAAAACTTTTTCAAGGAGCTATCCAAGGAGCAAAATAAGATTCCCATAATTTTATCTGTTGTTTCACCTTATAATGCCTCATTTATTACAAGTGATGAGCATTTGCCACAATTGTTCTCTACCTTGTACGATCCGATTAATTCTGAGAAATCTCAATCAGAGTTACTACAGCTAGCAGCAGATTACAGCATAGAGCCAACTACCACCGATAAGGTAAAGCGACTTGCCACCATAACTGCTGATCAATCTAAATCAAAAGTATGGTTCCAGTATAGAGCTGGTCGGATCACTGCCTCTCGATTGAAACAAGTAACACGCACTAGTGCTATTAAACCAAGCATTTCTTTAATTAAGAGCATATGTTACCCTGATGTCTACCTCTTTCACAATAATGCAACCAAATATGGTTGCACACATGAGAGTGACGCATTGCTTGCTTATGAAAGGAAAAGTGTTGTGCTCCATCAGGGTTTTGCCACATCAAGATGTGGGTTCTTTGTGTCTACAGATTATCCATTTCTCGGTGCTTCACCTGATGGTCTGGTTGAGTGTTCATGCTGTGGTAAAGGAGTACTGGAAATCAAATGTCCTTTTAGATGTAAGGAATCTACTATAAAAAGTCTAGTTGACAGCTCTACAGACTTTTATCTCAAGCGGCAATCTGACGGTATATTTTCTTTAGACCATGACCACAGCTATTATTATCAATGTCAGCTGCAAATGTTTGTCACAGATCGACAATACTGTGACTTTGTTGTTTGGTCTAAGGAAAGCCAATTACATGTAGAGCGGATCACTCTAGATGAATCATTCATTCAGGCACAAATGCCTATAGCAATGAAGTTTTGGAGATTATGCATACTTCCTGAGCTTTTGGGGAAATTATATTCAAGGCAACAGACAATGAGCGTGAGTGAGGAAAAGATAGAAGAGGATCAGGGTAAATGGTGCCATTGCAAGCAAGAGAAAGGAGGAGAAATGATTGGCTGTGACAACAAGACATGCAAAACAAAGTGGTATCACATAGAGTGCGTTAGCATGTCTTCAAGAAGTATCCCACAAGGAAAGTGGTTTTGTCCTGCATGCCGTCCGTCCTTGAAAAATACATAATTATTATTTACTCAATATAAATTTGCACTTCATGCACATTTTACTCAAACATAAAATTACATGCATCTATATAATTGTATAATATATACAATTATATAGCTGCATAATCACTATATAGATTATATAGATTATAAGATTATACTTGACTTTAACTTATTATCACTCTGAAGAGTGATATTTTGTTTTATATACAATATTACATGCAATGTACACACACACACTCATGCATACATGCATACGCACACACACACACACACACACACACACATATACACTCCTATATATACACATAAAGCATTCATAAAAATTGTCACAAACTCATGAAGTCATGAAGCTATGTACATGTATGTATGTATGTGAATATAACTATGTTATATAGCTTGTGTGAAGGTATACATAATTTTTATGTTAACAGTTGAGAATGTTGGTGTTAATTATTGTAATCATTATGCTTCTAAGAATTTATATACTATAATCTATATAATTATATACTATACAACAATTTATAATATCACTTGTTATACTATACTATAGTTTAGATAAAAGTTAAACAAAAGGAACTACACCTTCAGCAACATTGTTTAAGCAACAGCATACTTTAACTATGGAGTCTAATATAACATAATCATCATCATCATCTTTATGGTGAGATACCATTTCTTTTGGTAATACTCCCGTTGCCGAAAGGATTTGAAACCGCTGACGAACAGAACCAATAATCCTCTCTACATGAATTCTAACATTGGCCAGTCTTCTTGTACTTTCTACATCAGCTGCTGCTAGTTGATTTTTTCCTCTCGTAAATGCAGGTATAGCTAGTATTGCTCCAAATAGTGCAAGCGAGTCAGCAACATCAAATCCACGGTCGGCTAGAACAAAATTGCCTGGTGTTATATGCTTCAAATAGCCAGAGTTTTCTACTATATACTTATCTGAAGCTCTACCACCCCAACCATTTGAAATAAAACTAATAATGCCTTGAGGTGTAATACTTATAAGATATTTTGCAGTGTTGTAGTGCTTGTACTGTGACCATGTACATGACTTTGCTAAGAGATTTGATGGTTTTTCAATGAATAACTCAAAGCAGTCGATTATTGAAGTGACCTTTAAGCCATATGTTGGAATAAAACTGAAAGGCATTGTCTTTTGTATTAATTCCCTTTTTGGCCAAGTAATCAGAAAATTAAGTCGTACATCCATAACTTTAATCCATTTAGAAAAGACTCTTGACACAGTGGACTCACTTACACCAAACCTAAAAGCAAGATCAGAATTGTTTGCATTAAGCCTCAGCTTCATTAAAACCATTGTGAAGCATGCAAATTTATCCAGCTTTGATAACGGATTGCCAACAATGGCACCACTGACTAAATGGAATACAGCCATTAAAACTGTGAAGCTATTTAGCCCAGTATAAAGGCGTAACAGTTTCTCACTGGCCACAAAATCTTCTATTGATGGATATCCTTTCGGTATAGCTTTCTTTAGATCAACCACTTCATTCACTCTTAACTGTAATTCAGCTTCTTGAGTTTCAATTTTAGCTACAGTCATATCAGTTTGTGTTGCAATGCTCACTGTATTGGCAGAAGTGCTCATTGGTTCAGAGCTTTCACTTGAGGCTACACTGATAGCTGTACCTTTGCTCTGCTCCCTCTTTTTTAAGGCCTGGTATCTTTGCATATCATGACTAGCCTTCCTTTTTAAAGGGCTAGAAGTAAAGGCAAAAAGGCTAGGCACATAAGAGGGAGACAACGGATCATCACTTTTAACACCTATATATATTAAAGATCAAATAAAATAATCATCGTTTAAAACTATTGACAGGCTACCTCCAACAAAATGCTGACTACAGATGACTGTATGCTGCTTAGGCTCAAAGTTCTTCCTTTTTATAGCATTTAGCCATAGTGATCTTTTTGGCTCCTTCAGGGGAATTCTGTAAAACTTAATGCCTGCATCTCTGGTCTCTTTGCAATCTCTTGTTGTACAGTTAAAAGCACAGCAAGAATTCACCATGCTAGTGAGCCTGCAATTTATAGTGAAGATTCAAGATGCGCTCTTTTTGCCATACGGAAGTAATTATGACGTGGGCTATGACGTCACCTGAAACCGCTCTATATAGTATCTATGGTGTGACTATTAGATAGCGCTTGCTTATGATATATCTTCTGTTCCACATAGAAAGTTTATGGCTACCTGTAGCAAGGTTTTTGTTTCTATAGAGCTATTTTTCGACCAGTTATGGATACACAAAGTCGGCACCTTTTTTGACACCTTTTTGCCTCTACAGCTGTCATGCTTTTACTATTCTAGTGTTGCCTCATATCATTCCATAGGTAATTGAAAGTTCTTTAATATTCTGACAAGCTTTTTAGAGTTTAGCTACAAATGTCTTCATTAGAGGGAGAAAACAGCACTGAATTTTATGGGCAAAAGCGCTATATTAACACACAAAGTATTAATTTAAATATACCAAATAAATAATAATTAACAGTGCAAAACATTGAACTCCTTGATAGTCGAGTTTCTTTTTCATCAGAGCACTCTTCTTGGAGATATTCTAATTTTAATAGAAAAAATCACGAATTTTGTGGTGAAAAAGTAACAAACCGCCTACTGGCGCCTAGTCAGCAATTTTTTTGCTTAGCAACAATACAATCAAATGGCATTATTGCTACGCCCACACGGAAGTTTCCAATCCCTTTCATTTACTCTATTATCTATGGCAGATCCATAGATATTAGAGTTAAAAGTAACTAGACCCTTTTATGAGTGATATATAGCTTATCGTACACGTAAACAATTGGCCATGCCCATTTATTATTGAACTAGAATCTGTAAATTGGACTAATTTGTGAAAATAGTAATTCCTTGCATAACAAAGCAAACGCCAAACGGAGTACGCACTACGCAGTGATGCAGCAGATACTATAGGGCTGTTGGACACTCTCCTTCCCTTATCTACTCTTGATAGTATCTATGGACTAACTTTCTTGATGACGATGATGACTGATGAAGAAAAAAGGTGGCTGAACACAGTGAAAACGGCCGGTTCGCCGATTTTTGGCTTTTCTCTTAGACAAGGTCTAGAGCCACGCTATGGGTACCAATGGAGTCCTCTGGTCAAGATAATGTGGACGTGGTACTGGTTCGAACCCGGCTCAGGGCAGGGCAAATTGCTTTTCTTTTTTTTACTTTCAAAAATTTAACTTTTTACCTTTTCTACTTAGCCTTCTCCCCTAGTTATGTTAGGAGTCCCCTAGTTAGCTATTGTTTTTAGGACTTAGCTATTGTTTTTAGGACTTAGCTATTGTTTTTAGGGTTTAGGGGTTAGGGTGGCGGTTTTTTTTTAGAGCGTCCCTACTCAATTTAGGAGCCCCCTAGTTGGTTTAGGGTTTAGTTTTTTATTTTATTTTAGAGAGTCTCAAGGCTTTAAAAGTCCCTAGAGCAGTCCTGACAAAAACTAAGTTCCATTTTGCACCGATGCGCATGCGCACAAACTTGTTTTACGGACATTTACGGGATGGTAACAATCTCTCCCTAACGGCTTTTGCAAAAGTCGTGGCAGCCATTTTGTTTGGGGGTGAATCCTACTTAGTAACGCTACCACATTACTAATAACCATAGATCTATGTAATAACGCTACCGCGTTACTAATATTTCTTCTTCTACCATTAAATAAAGTTGCTTTCCTTCATCTAGTGATACTCTTGCAGCACCCCTTGGTACCAAAAGCTGGAAACTGTTAAACCACAGGGGCCACAAGTGAGAGTAGGCATACTAGATATTGGTGATTATTGGACTCAGTAGTCTGCAGCGGGCGCCAGGGCACATGTGGTCTGGCTATGCAATACTAGTGAAAGCTTGTGTTTCACCATAAGCTGAGATTTCCTACAGATGTAGAAATCCCATCTATGATCTAACAAAAAATGAAAGAACAATTTTGTCCTAACTTTTTTGTTTCTGCAGTTGCTCAAAGTTTGTGATTTACTGGACCCTTTGAGAAGAAATCAGTGTAGGGAAAGCTGTAGCAACCAAACTCTCTCTGTCTCTTTTAAATATCTAGGCAACAGTTCTGCCAACTCTTGCTAAAATAAATCTCAGGCTTTTCTTTTCAGCTTCTCCAAGCCATGTGCTATGATTACTGATTAGCTAGTTGTTGACCAGACCCATAGCTTGTTTTAATTGCAGTCAATAATAATTGTTTTTAATTTTTTTCCAAATTGCTTAAAATACCATATAGCGCTTTATTTTGGCTGCGTTTTATTTTGGTGATTCTGCTGTAAATTTCTAATTGGAGGTTTTTAATTTGGAGATTTTGTGTACACGTGCAATACTGAGCATGAGCATTAATGATTGGCAGTTTTAATATTGGCGATTCTACTTGCAAACCACCAATTGCCAAAATAAAACTCTGCCAAATTAAAGCGCTATACGGTATTACAATACATTTAAGTAACACATATCACTCAGGTGAATTCCAGCACGAGTCCATTGCACCATCATAGTGCTTCATTTTGAAGGCAAATAAATCATAGTATATTAATATAACTGATTTGAGAAGCATACCTTTTTCACAAGTGTCTTTTTTAAGTTCAGAAAGTCCTGTGAGATTTCTGGCAGCTGTTTAGTAATTTTTTTTACAAAATTAATGTTATAAAAATAGTTTGGCTAACTTACCTCTCTTTCATCTTCTACTAACTGCCCTATGCAGTGTTTTTTCACATATTCATTATTACGCATTGGTTTTGGATGTAATACTTCAAATGGTACCTGCATGCATGGAATACAAGAAATATCAATATGCCAGGCCCCATGCAGTAATTATGGCGACCTCTTATGAGGTTATGTATGCTGGGCCCTAGTCTCGCAAGACTAGCTGGGCCCAAGCCCTGACATGCAACTGAGCTTTAGTGGGGCACACTCCACAGCCGGACCATTGCTGCAGAACTCAGTTGACAGTATGTATAATTATTTCTCTATACCGTAGCATCTTGCCCAGCATAATTAAACATTATATCTCCTCCTCCTGGATGCTTTGATAACCAGTTAGTAACATCATAGACCTTTCCATGAACTATAATCCAACAATCATCTCTTTCATCATGTGAAGATACTTCTTCCCTTGTGTACAAAGACATCATCAACTGGCAACTGTGAATCTTGACTTAAAACACGTAGCAGGGATAAAATAGATCTCAACTGAGGGCCGTTATTTTAATTAGATTATTGTAGTCAGGTAAAATGAGGCAATTTGATTGGTCAAATGAGGTAATCTAAGTAGCTTAGTTACCTCTTAATAACTTCTTAGATTACTTGTTGGGGCGAGCCTGAGCGAGCGGGGTTATAGGAGAAAGATGATTACAAAGTCTATCCGCGCCCACTCACATTGATTTGAATGGGATCACGTGATCAGTTTCCCATTAATCGACGTTACGTAGTTATTGGGGCGAGCGGCAAGCCGGCCTGAGCGAGCCCCACCATAGGTCCATCAGGGGCGGATGCGGATCTAGGGGGGGCCTGGGGGGGCCAGGCCTAGGCTCAAGCAGATTATGCTCCCTAATGCTTAAATTATTTGATGCAGCATTGCTCATAAACTGTCATGATTATCCTTCAAAAATAGTACATTATGCTCTCAATTATGCTGAAAAACCAACCAAAAATATACATTATTACAGCAAAAATTAATTAATTAATGTATTAATGCATGGTCTGAAGGTGCAGTAGAAGTAAAAACTCAAAAAAATTTAGTTGATATCCAAGGATAATTTTTAAAGTTAAAAAGACTGCAGCTAAGAAACAATTCAGACATCTCAGTGATCTCTGTAACCATTAAATTCAGGATATTTTGCCTTTTATGCCAGTAATTTTCGGATATTTCCCAACTATGCTAGCACAATTCTTGTATTCTTCTACCTATGCTCATTTTTATGCCAGAATAATCTGCGCCTCCCTAGCCAGGCCCCCCCCAAAAGTTTTTCTGGTCAAGTATAAATTAGTTTTATCTATGTAAACTGTGAAACAGCTGCAGTACTTGACTGTGTAAACAGTCTGTAAACCACAAAGGAGCTCATTTAAGAGGCCTAATCTTCAAAATTTTAACTTCCCGTGCCCAAGTCCTTTGATTTCTTTTCACCTTTTCTACAACTGCGCTCTAGTTGCATCATATATCAAAATACCGGCTCTTTCGAGAAAAATACAATAGAAAAAAAACTGCTGTCTTTAGCATGTAAAATAAGAAAGTTATTCAAAATGTAAGTTGACAAAGTCAGTGTGAACCTAGTATAGTTTTCATAAAGGCCATTATTATCAGAAAATCTTGCTCTAAAAGAAGAATTATCAGTTTGGGCGCTCGACTTTAGAGGACCCTCGACGGGGAAATTACAAAGTTCGGACCGGACCGGGACTGTCGGACCAGGAATACGGATGACGCACGGGCCTTGTATAAAACACGGACCGGACGCGTACGTCTTGGAGCCTAGATACAATTGTTCAAGCATAGATACTTTAGACCACAATACACTGCAAGTGTCTATGGTGCTCACTATGGTAGCTTTTAAATTCATGGTCTTCCAAGTTACTGGCATTATTTTGTAATAATGGCTGCCGGCAAAAGTAAAATTAATAATTTACATGTAAGTACAACAGTTTAAATCAGTCATAATGTGCTTTATAGATCCTTAATGCTTCTGACTCAGTGACTCCAAATCTCTTTTGTTTTAGTTTTGTTAAAATCTACCAAAA